GGGGGTAGGTTCCGAGCTACAAGTTACATTAGTGTGCGCGGTTATTATTCAGCTGCGTGAGTAAAGTAGCCAAGCAAAGTTCAAAGTCCTCCTCCTCTGACTCTATCAGTTCCAGCCGAGGTTAATTTTAGTCGCCTGTGCGCGCGAAGATCAGGACTGGAGGAAAAACGGTTACTTTGTAAAAAAAAAAAAAAAAAAAAGTTCTGCAGCTCTCTCCATTCGCGGATCAGGTCGGCGGGATGTCCCTTCCCCTCAGCGACGACGCAGTGATCTGACTTGTCTCTGCTGAGGCGCAGGAGGAGAGTCTCTGCTCGCACGGACAAAACTCTTCGTTCCCTCCCCGCGCGCTGCTCTCGAACTCCACGCACGCGACGGAGCAGAACATGGCCTTCCTGTCCGGCAGAGAGGACACGTCTTTGATCGTGACGGAGAGGGACCGCAAGGACGCGGCGGAGACATACGCGTGCCCGACGATTGAGCTGAGCAGAGCCGTGTCCGTGTCGCTGGGTCTGGACTCGGTGTCGTCTCCGCTCGGTAACATGAACCCGGCAGGCGGCGGCGCGTACGCGGACTGCGACCCCACGGGCGGCGGGAACGGTTCCCGCGGAGCCGCACCGGACCTGCTGGGACCGCCGGGGAGTCTGGGCACGGGAGGGGGCAGGCTGGTCCCGGCTGACGGCAGCCTCCGGGAGGACGACTATGGAGAGGTGTGCCAGGGCATGCGGCAGGTGAGCTGCATGGATCTGTTCAGACCCGGACACATGGACGGCGCGCACGCTGCCGTGACGCGCGGCTCGGTCATCTCCAGATTCGTCTGCAAGGAGTCCGGCGTGTTCGGAGAAGTCCCCGCGACCTCCCAGGTGACCGAGGTCGTGCCCCTGAAGCCGTACCCAGCTCACCCCGCCGAGTCCAGCCTGTACAGGGACGCGCAGGGGAGCGTGTGGTGCGCCAACGAGCGCGCGTACGGCGAGCCGCTCAGATCCGACGGACCTGGCGTCTTGTGTAAATACTGTAACTGTGCGCAGACCGCTTTGGGGTCCAGACAAGTCTGTAACTGTCTGTGGTTCAGGCGAGGGGGTGAGCCCGGGGGGAAAGGGGCCATGCACGCGGCTGCACAGGCGTACGGCCAAGTGGAAAGTTACCCAGACGCAAACCCTCAAGGACAAACCACTTTTGCTTCTATCAAGACGGAGCCTTCAGTTTGGGTGGACTGCACGGATCGCAGCTTCAGGTAAATGGGTTGGTTCTGATCGCTTGTCTGGACTTGCTTGTTCCTCCAGGAGGACAGCCTTGAAATCTTTTTACGAGCTCCTTCTTCTCCTCCGCCTGCTAATGAAAAGCAAAAGCGCAACGAGACAAGAGCTCGCGCTTCAGTGCGCCACTTCTCATCTAATGGGACATAAACCGAAGCACAATCCGATTCCAAATCGGCTCCGAGTGTTTGTGTGTTGCTGGTGGCCATGACTTGGACACATTGTGGGAGCCGTGCAGTGTATCAGCATAAATCACTGGAGTTATATTCAGCCCTGGCGTGTTCCTCTCTTGGCCTTGGACAAGTCCAGTTTCAGCCCAGAGAGTGAAGCAAAGTTCATCCAGTCTCAGCTTTACCTCCTTTTTTTTTTTTGTTTGTTGCTGCTCAAGTGACCTCCACATGAGTTAATATATCATTCCGTCTAAACAGAGAGCTCCAGCACCTGCTGCTGATCCTGCTGCCCTGAGGAGGAGAAGAAGAAGAGGAGGAATATTTATTGTCACCAGTTACTGATTCCCGAAGAGGCTAACTCTGGCATTCTTTAATCTGGAGTCTGCCGCTCTACTTGTGCGTGTGCACACAGCGGATGACGAAATGCACAATATCTAATTGGATTGAGGAGGTTAGAGAGCTGCAGCTCCAAATGAGACAGACCCAGTGACCCCAATCTGCACATATGTGTGATTTACCGCTGGGTGTAATGGTTTTACACGTACAAAATGAACAAGACGGTTTAACGCGAACGGCAAATGATGATGTGAGCCTGTTAGTAAAATATCGTATGCGCCTGGCACGTTTTAAAGAAACTTGCAAGGAATCGTTGGTTGAATGTTTGCGGGTGATGGACGTTGGAAGTCAACCTGATTCAAGATGGCCACCGCAGCCACCTGAGCCTAAAGCACAAAGATGATGAATGAGTCCGTTTTGCAGAAATGTGGCGCGGTCGCAGCTGAGAGTCATCCCCGACACACACTCGGAGCACCATGTCAATTTGAGATTTGCGTTTTAACAACTTTTACCGTCCACTTTGTCTGTCAGCAAAATTTCTCACGATCCACTTTTTTTTTTTTTAATTCAACTTGCAGAAAGTCAATAGATTCAAGATGGCCACCGCATGAAGAGGCTTAACAGTCCGCTTTAGGTCCGCTGCGCCTTAACGTGTTGCGGTTCAAGCCAAGAGTCGTCTTCAACGCGCTCTCTGAGGTGTCACAGTGGCACGTGCACGAAGTTCATCCAAACGTCTCACTGTCCTTCCTCAGCAGAGCACAACTCCAGTTTATAAATTTGGAATAAAAGCCCACGAGCAACAACAACAAAAAAAAAAACAAGCAGTCCTTGAAGAAATTCTATATCTCTCATTTTATGAAACCCTTTAAAAACTATTATTACTCTTGTTATGATGATGATGATGATGATGATGATGTGTGTGTGTTTGCAGGCATGGGGACTTTTTTCCTGGTGTGTACCTGTCGGAGCGGAGAGTGTGTCAGGTGTGTGGTGACGACGCCTCAGGTTGTCACTATGGAGCGGTCACCTGCGGCAGCTGCAAAGTGTTCTTCAAGAGGGCGGCCGCAGGTGGGAGTGAGGCGCACACGCACAGAACACGTCCGCCGATTTAATTCCTTACACCCACTTGTTGTCTAATTCCGACAGGGCGCAGCGACCTGACATTATGAGGGCGAGTTATTTATCAGTGGACGCCCACGTGTCGTTGCTAAGAGTTAGAGAGCGTTTTTTTTTTTTTCAGCTGAGCGCTCACCCTCCACGACTTTCCCTGTTTCTGTGACTCCAGGGAAGCAGAACCACCTGTGCGCCAGCCGGAACGACTGCACCATCGACAAGCTGAGGCGCAAAAACTGTGCGTCCTGCCGCCTAAAGAGATGCTTCATGTCGGGGATGAGCTTAAAAGGTATGAAAATAAAGATGTGAAACTGTGAATGGGGTCACTGAGTGGATCCGAGCTGTTCCCACCGCAACAGTTTCATTTCATTAAAGGTCATTTTTCCGTTTTTATGCCTTTTGGGACCAGCGATCAAGAACTTTCCTGCAGGAGAAACAGCTCGAGAAGCCGCCCGTCCTGATTTGGCGTGTTTGCGTGACGGATGTTTTCTATTGAGCAGTTTGCAGCTGAAGACTCTTTTCTCCCGTTGACTCATTGGTAATTTTAGGCCGCAGGCTGAAGGGAGCCGGCCAGACGAGAAGCGGAGAGGAGGAGCAGCAGCAGCCTGCCATCGCCTGGGGCCATGGAGACAGAGAGGAGAGGGCAAGGAAGAAGGATGTTGTCATGGAGTCCAGAAATGCTGCTGCCAGGGCTCAAGGTGGGGAGGATTAGTGGTGCACACGCTGACATGTCACGCTAATACAGAAACACGCTAAAATGTATGTTTTGTGTTTCGTTATCACCCGCCACTGAAAGGTGAAGGTGGGTGACTATGTTTTTGCTCGTGTCAGAGTCCTACAAAGTTTTATTGGAGTTCATCTATAAGTAATTCAGAGCCAACACAATTCAAGATGGCTAAAATTTGGTGTAGTGGTAGCTGAGGGTCATATCCAACACACGCTCCTTGTGAGAAACAGTGCTCTTCCACATATACACAGGTAACAAAGTCCAAGCTCAGTAATCCAGGTATACAATCCAGCAAGTTTCAGTCAGATCATCTGGACAGTTTTATTTTTTTTTGTGCTGAAATGTTTACTTTCCATCCAGAAGGCTTCATCAGTCAAGGAAACACACAACAGAACTGATTCTTCCCCCCATCAGCTTACTCCAAAGTGGAACAAACCAGTTCTGCTTGTGATTAGATGGTCTCTTTGGTACGCCCCTCCTCCATTGCCGGCCCTCTTCCTTGTTGACAGTCTTGTCAAACTGGTTGAAAACAACAAAGTCCATGCTCAATAATCCAGGTATACAATCCAACATTTTTCAGTCAGGTCATCTGGACAGTTTCTTTTTTGTGCTGAAACGTTTCGCCTTCGATCCAGAAGGCTTCATCAGTCAAGGAAGCACACAACAAAACTGATTCTTCCCCAATCAGCTTACTCCAAAGTGGAACAAACCAGTTATGTTGGTGCTAAGATGGTGTCTTTGGCACGCCCCCTCCTCTGGTGCCGGCCCTCTCCCTCGTCGACAGTCATGTCAAACTGGTTCCAAACCAACAAAGTCCATGCTCAATAATCCAGGTGTACAGTTCAACAAATTTCAGTCAGGTCATCTGGACAGTTTCTTTTTCTGTTTCCTTGACTGATGAAGCCTTCTGGATGGAAGGTGAAACATTTCAGCACAAAAAAAAAAAGAAGAAACTGTCCAGATGACCTGACTGAAAATTGTTGAATATACACAAGTACAAACTTAATGTAACAAAGCTTTTTATCTACTACTATACTATACTATACTATACTATACTATACTATACTATACTATACTATACTATACTATACTATACTATACTATACTATACTGTACTGTACTATACTGCATTGTACTGTACTGTTCTATACTATACAGTACTATACTATACTAAACAGTACTACACTAAACAGTACTATACTATACAGTGCTATACTATACTTTACTATACTATACTTTACTCTACTATACTATACTTTACTATACTATACTTTACTATACTATACTATACTTTACTATACTATACTATACTATACTATACTATACAGTACTATACTATACTGTACTGTACTATACTGTATTGTACGGTACTGTTCTATACTATACAGTACTATACTATACTAAACAGTACTACACTAAACAGTACTATACTATACAGTGCTATACTATACTAAACAGTACTATACTATACAGTACTATACTATAATATACAGTGCTATACTATACTAAAAAGTACTGTACTATACAGTGCTATACTATACTATACAGTACTATACTATAAAGTACTATAAAGTACTATACTATACAGTACTATACTCTACAGTAAACGGACTGTACTTATATAATGCCTTTCTATCTTATTGAGATACTCAAAGCGCTTTACACCACAATCTGTCCTCATTTACCCATTCATACAGCACTCTACTAGATCTCTACAAAGCTAATTGAACAAATCATTCTAAAGAGACTAATCAGAGCTTTATCACATTCATTCACCGATGGGACACACATCGGAGGCAATGAGGGGTTCAGTGTCTTGCCCAGGGACACTTCGTCATGTGACTGCTGGTGGATTCGAACCCCCAACTCTTGTACTGGAGGATGACTGCTCTAACCACTCAACCACAGCCACCCCTATACTATACTGTACTGTACAGTACTATACTATACGGTGCTATACTATACTGTACTGTACAGTACTATACTATACTATATTATACAGTGCTATACTATACTACACAGTACTATACATTACTATACTATGCTGTACAGTAGTATACTATACTGTAGTGTACTATACTATACAGTACTATACTATACAGTACTATACTATACTATACAGTACTATACTATACTATACAGTACTATACTAAACAGTACTATACTATACTATACTATACTATACTATACTATACAGTACTATACTATACTATACTATACTATACTATACTATACTATACTATACTATACTACTGTGCTCTACAAATCTAAGCATAAATTTGTACCAACACATGAAAACTGTCTGACTTCTCAATCTAAAAACTTTTTTGTATTTTTTATGGAGGTCATCGTTGTTGATCTATTCTCCGTCCCTTTAGCTGTTTCTGCATGTAAACAAATAAATGTGGTAGTTGGCACACATTTTGTTTACAAAGTTTTATTATGAAGATGCAGTAATTGTTGATAGGATTTTTATTTATTTATTTATTTTTTATTACAGATTTCTTTTTCTTACTTGAGGGTTTTGTTTTACTGGTGTTCATGACGAGCACCAGTCAAACTTTAGAATTAATTGTTGTTGTCCTCCCAGTTTGTCCATTGACAAAGAATGAATGAATCACTGGAGAAGAATCAGTGGATGTGCATAAGCAGCTAATCGACATTAGCGTACACTAAAATGTATGAAACTCAAGCGTCAACAAAAAAATCAGTGGTCATTCATAACACATCTTAAGTGTTACTTATAATTTGATCAAGATTACTACAGTTCAGTACATCACGTGAGTCTAAAAGATGAACATGTGGCAGCGATATGAATTTTGTGAAGGAATGCTTGCTCTTTATTTAATTTTTCTCTAAATGTTTAACAGGACATCAGTCCCTGCTTCTTGATATCCCCCCAACCCTGCGCTCCTGCCTGTCGCTGCTCAGCATCCTTCAGTCCATCGAGCCCAACGTGGTCAACGCTGGACACGACCCCGCCCAGCCCGACAGCCCGGCGTCCCTCCTCACCAGCCTCAACGAGCTCGGGGAAAGACAGCTGGTGACTGTGGTGCGCTGGGCCAAAGCAATTCCAGGTAGCACGTGTGCCAAGGTAGCACAGGTAGAGCAGGATTTCCTGCTGCACACTCCACCCTGTTTAAATTGCTTTAATCTGTCGTTTGTGGTTTAGTCCGCACCAAAAAAGGAACAGTGCAAGGTTAGAAAACGTTAAAGGAGCTGCTGGTGAGAGATGACAGATATAAAGAAATCTGTTAAAAGAGAAGCATCTAGAACCTGTCGGCCTTGGGCGAGGCCTCGAGATCAGAAGATAGCTGGTGTTGTCAGACAGATAGTTCCAGTTTGACACTGGAGCAGGCAGCAAGCAGACCTGTTCAAAAAGGAACCACTAGAGGGGGATAGGTCCATGTTTCAACTACAAGCCGAGGCCTGAAAATGGTTTGAATCGTGTCTTTCGTTTGAGTTAAATAAGCCAAGAAGAGTTCTTATGTTCTATTGATTTATTATTGTGCCTGTTTGCTAAAAGGCATGTGTTTACAGGGTTCCGTGACCTGCAAGTGGACGATCAGATGTCAGTGATTCAGCTGTCCTGGATGGGGGTGATGGTGTTCGCGTTGGGCTGGAGGACCTACACACTTACGAACTGCTCAATGCTCTATTTTGCTCCAGACCTGGTCTTCAATGAGTAAGTCATAAATAAACTTATAGCCACTCGTCGTGGGCTGACACGTTCAGATCATTAGAGGCTTTTAACGGTGTCTTGAACTTGAATTTATAAATTAGAACTAGGATTTTAAATGGTTTTTTTTCTAATCCACACTGGGTCAAATGTATACATACAGGCTCTAATACACCTGCACTAATGTTTCATTAAATGTCCCTCCTCGCGTTAGACACAGTTTGTAATTCATTCTTTAAAAAGCCCATTCCAGAAACGTATCAAATCAGGAATATTTTATGTGTGTGCCATCATTGTCCTTTTGGGACAAAATGTGTCAAACATTTATCCATCTGCCTACAAAGTATATGCATGAGTTCTCCGTCATGACTCCATCTGCTTTGTGTGATGCACCTGTCCCACAGCATGTTGCTTCTGCCACCGTGCTCGTCAGTTTGTTCAGCATTCTTAGAAACACACCTTAGCTCCTCCCAGCATGCATTGTTTCGTGCTCATAAAGCTCCAGTTTGGCTTGTTTGGTCAAAAACACATTTCTCCAGAAGACGTTTGGTTTGTTCATCGCTTATTTATTTAAAAAAATAAATGTAACCAGGTAAATCCCATTGAGATCACAAAACAGTTTTTCAAAGAAGACCTGGGCCTGCAGGTGGTCTAAACATGCATGTGCTGGAGTCTTGGTGGATCCTGGATTATTTCACAGCATCCTAACTTTTTCCTTATCATCTGAGGAGGTGCATTGTGGGTCTTCTTCTAGGTTCAGGAAAATTGGTGCACAGCGAGTGTATGTAAACCTCTGACCCCCCTCGCTACTTAGCGGTTCGTTTGTCGCGGTTTTTCAAAATAAGATTGGACGTGACACACAGTCGGCTGATTGATGGATGAGCCGCACGATCGGCATGGAATTTTAATTTCAAATAAATTATTTAAAATTATTTAGCACCTTTGTGCAGCCCACACTACAGGATAAATTGCCTGCTGCAGCTGATCAGCTGATCAGTGTGCAGAGCAGAGAAGTGGGCGTGGCCAAGAGCGCTTGCAGGCGGCAAAGAGCAGAGGAGGCAGGGAGCTGAAATCATGACGTTGTGTGCTCTGTTAGAGCGTTTAGAAACATTGTTTAGAATAATGCAAGAATGTGGGAAGAGTTTAAAACACCTTTGTATATAAATACTAAAATAAACTACTACTTACTACTTGTATTACTATTCCTACTTGGCGGTTTTTCACGTATCTCGGATCTTCAGCAATTGGTTTAGCATGAAAAAGTTTCTGATTTAAGCAAAGCTGACCGAGTTTGGCTCCGCGTTTTTGTCGAACAACGTTTGAAAACGGTCAGCGTGGCGTGGGGTTCGTTTCCACCTGCCATCATCGCAGGAGAGGAAAAGGCTCAGGGGAATCAAACTCCAGAGGGACTCTGACCAAACGCGCGATAAATTTTCAAACGAGACGGTCAACAAGCGTGTTCGGTTCTCAGCGTCTGATCGTTGAACTTGGTACCAAACTGAAGTCGGACTGTGTCACGAGCGAGAGGCGCCTGATGGAGATGAGTGTGTTTTGTTTGTAAATGAGAGTAAAGTCACAGGTTCTCCAAGAAGCTTTTTGTGTTGCACAAGCCAGACTCTCCTTCTGTGTGCGTCGAACCTCCTTACCTCCTGTGACCTGCATGGTTAATGGGTACGCGTGCCCCTCAAGCTGACCCTCATTCCTCTTCGTCTCTTTGTCGTTCTCCTTTTTCCATTATCCATCGAGCTCATTTTTCTCTCACCCCTGCTGCTTCGTCTCCGTTCCTCTCCACTCCTGTCCCCGCAGCCATTAATTCTCTTCCTCCCGTCTCCATCGGTCTGAACATCTCCTGGCTTCACACTGCCACTTTTTGTCACACCTGGCGTGCTGCAGCTTCCCCTCTCACGCTGTCTTTTTTGTTTTTGTTTGTTTTGCCTGACCCGTCCTCGCAGCCAGCGGATGCAAGTGTCCAGTATGTACGAACACTGTGTGAGGATGAAGCTGCTCGCCCAGAGGTTCTGCAAGCTGGAGGTTACCGAGGAGGAGTTCCTCTGCATGAAGGCCCTGGTCCTCTTCAGCATCAGTGAGTCAGCATCCTGTCTTAGAATAAAAATAGAGAAATAAAGAATAGCTTGAACTACGGCGGGTGAGTTATGACCAGAGCGGCGAGCGGCCATGTTTCAGAGAATTGATGGGACGGATAAAGTCGGTGAGAGTTATTGTTGTGTTCTGGCTTTTTGTGGTCACAGTGCCAGTGGACGGCCTGAAGAGCCAGTATTGTTTTGACGAACTGCGGACCTCCTACATCAAGGAGCTGGACCGCTTGGCCAGCAACCACGGCGAGACCACCCGGACGCAGAGGCTGTTTCAGCTCACGCAACTGCTGGACTACCTCCAGTCGGTAAACATGTGACTCCCCCCTTTTTTTTTTTCACTGATGAAAAGCACCACCACATGTCTCTGAGGCGTTATGTAAGTGTCATTTGTCAGCGACCTACTTCAGGAGAAAGTCGTTTGGATCTCCAAACACAAACACAGCATTTGACTCCCGGTGATACAGTGAAAATTATTTTCAACAACATCCGTGAGGTTATTCCAACAAACTCGATCAGCTGTCGCCATTCAGATTCAGGCAGGAGTTTATTTAAGTCCTTCAGCACATCGGGTTCTGTCTAGTTTTTTATTTTCAGTGTACTGGCTCCACCTGCTGGCGGTGAAGTGAACTGCTACTTTTTCTTTTTTTTATTGCTGCGATTTAATAATGGTTTTAGAATTTAGACCTACATAACATATTGTGTTTTTTTTTCCTGTCAGGACTCATATTTCTCAGAGTGATAACCTTTATTCTAATTATTTAAATTTAATCTAATCAGACATGTAACATTTAAATAACAAAACTTGAATTTCTCAAAGAAATGCAATGCCTTGCTGTGCAAAGTTTTAAACAGATACTGTGTTATCTGTTAGTGCTTGGAGTATGTGATGGGAATGACTCTCAGCTACTACCACACCAAATTATGGCTCAGTATTTGTAAAACTGATCCAGTTAAAGACATATACTGTATGTTTGATAAACTGAGGGGAGCGTCTTAAACTGGTTTGACTTCAAACATTCATCAATTGTAGATGTATGACCAGCGATTACTTTATGAAAATTTAATTTAAGTCTATCCACGGGTATGTTAGATATTTTGCTAACAGTCACACTGCTCATGGAAACGTTTTAAACAAAGATCACTTGATCATTAAGTGCTCGGAGCATGTGCGGAGGTGTAAACACACCAGCCTGGATCATCATCATCATTAACTTTTATTTCAGACACAATATATGATCCATATAAAAACAAAAACAACAACAAGAACACAGAGTTTAAAAGCTTTTCTATAGAGGCTCAAACGCCATTGAGTCCATAAAGTAGAAAAGGATCGCAATATCAATATCTGATATCAATATCTGATATCAATATCTGATATCAATATCTGATATATCGGCTGCATTTTAGCCATTTCTGTGTTGCTTTACCATAATGAGCCAGACTGACTCTAAAAGTGAATAAATTCTAGACGGACAGCAGATTTCCTAAAGCTTCATTTTAAATGTGCTTTCTTGAGATATTTTGCTAAGTGACAAACAACACACAGACACAGGCAGTTACATGATTGCCCACCGTTCGTGGCGACATGCACTAATCCCACGTTTAAATGTTGAAAGTAAATAGTTCCCTGCCAGGCATGTAATCATCGCCCTAAACTTAGACTTTAACTTCAGTTAAGAGCTACTCTCCACTCTCAGTCTCTGCTTCGTCTTTAAATGAAAGTCTCTAAAAGCAGCAATATAAAAAAATAATAAAAAATCCTGCACGTCTGAAGTGAACAGAACAGAAGAACATTAACCAGTTTTATAAACTGTCAGTGTTTACACATTTGTTTTTGTTGGAGTCATTGTTTTACCTGACAGGTAAAACCTCTGGCAGTAGTTACGTTGGTCAGCTCCAAACCTGAGGAGCTCTAAATGAAAAGGTTTAAACTCACTCGCTGGTTTATCGTCATCATGTTAATCTTCTTTTCCCTCCCAGTACCTCCACAACAAGGCTGTTATCACGTTTAAAAGGCAACACAAAATTAAAGACGTGAAGCCACAGTTTCAGATGACACCCACGTTCACACTGCAGGCAACAGTGACACAAATCTGACCTTTTCACCCAAATCTGATTTTTTTTTTTATGATGGTCTGAACGTCCCAGTTTTGAACAAAGCAAATCAGACCTTTTACAGCCGTACCACCCTGAACTCAACCAATTTCTTCTGATCTCGGAAGCTAAGCAGGGTCGGGCCTGGTTAGTACTCGGATAAGATCACCTGGTAGAGATAAGAACCAAATGACTAACATTATAGAATACAGACAAGTTAAAACCAACTCGCACAGCGTCAAAAGTCAGGGACTAAAAGTGAGTTTTCAAATGAGACTTGAAAACAGGGAGGGGGCCTGCCTGACATGTAGTGGTAAGTAATCAGGTCTCCTGTAAATGAGTCAGTGGGATTAACGTGTATAAATAAAGGTTGAGTGAACGATTGAAAAAAAAATCCACAGTTTTAGAATCTGCAACAGAGAAGGCCCTGTCACCTCTGACTTAAAATGAGTTCCTGGAACCAATAAAAGCATCTGCTGACCTCAGAGAGCGCTGTGGGACATATGGCTGCAGCAGATCAGCGAGATAAGAGGAGGCAGAACTGTTCAGAGATTTAAAAACGTACAGAATTTCAATTCAGTTCAGTTTATTTATATAGCGCCATATCACAACAAAGTTGTCTCAGGGCACTTTACAGGAACATTCACATGCAGTAGTCCCTCGCTACTTCGTGGTTCGTTTATCGCGGATTCGCTCTATCGTGGTTTTTCAAAATAAGATTGGACACGACACACAGTTGGCTGATTGATGGATGAGCCGCACGATCGGCATGGGATTTTATTTCAAATAAATTATTTGAAATTATTTAGCACCTGCTGCACCTTTGTGCGACCCACACTGCAGGATAAACTTCCTGCTGCAGCTGATCAGCTGTTCAGCGTGCAGAGCGGAGAAGTGGGCGTGGCCAAGAGCTCTTGCAGGTGGCAAAGAGCAGAGGAGGCAGGGAGCTGAAATTATGACATTCTGTCCTCTTTTAGAGAGTTTAGAATATTGCAAGAGTGTGGAAAGGGTTTAAAACGCATTAATACTGTATATATCTATATAAATAATAAAATAAAGTACTACTTACTACTAGGGGTGTAAATCACCAGCTTTACCACGATACAATATTATATTGATTTGTTTGTATAACAATACAATTTTTCTCGATATCACAAAGTCTGTCACGATACGATTTCGATTCTATTCGATTCACAAGTCTGCGATCGATATATTGGGATATCAAATGCCCATCTCATTTGCATATAAATAAATTTACAAAAACAATTCAAATGTGATTTAACCATGTTATTTCTGTTATTACAGGCACCAGGAATAAAAAAACAAAGTTTTTTCTTAATTAATGAAAAAATACAAATAAATGACCTGTTCAGTATAGTCTCACATTTCTCATGTTTCAGTGCATTTTTTAAACCAGTTAACTTAAAAGTGTCCTGATTACTTTTCAGTTATAAACAAATAAAAAATAGATATTGAGCTTACATAACATGGCTATCAATGCCGTGTTTATTCTTCAGGTGAACGACCAAATTTGTTGTTTCCCGAGTATTTGAACTCACACTGACACCTGTTGCATACGACATGAGTTTTGTCTGTTGAGTCGTCCTTCTGTTGGGATCCAAAATATTTCCACAGTGTTGATTTAAATCCAGCAGGAGAGTTATCATTATTCATTTTCTGCCTCGTCTGCCATGTTGCTGAGGCGGCCGCAGAGCGTAGCCGCGCACGGAAATGTTGAAACAGACGTGCCTTGAAAACTTCAAAATAAAAGCGTATTTTAAAGATGATGACGTGAATCAATCTTTTAGTTTTGCCACAATATAATTGAATCATTAATCACTGAATCGATATATCGATTTAAATGGATGTATTGTTACACCCCTACTTACTGCTTGTAATACTATTCCTACTTCACGGGTTCTCACTTATCACGGGTCTTCAGGGTACGGATGCCCCGCAATAAGCGAGGGACTAGTGTATATAGAAAAGCCAATTAGTAAAGTTCTCTATCTAAGGAGAAGGATTTTAAAATCAGAAGGATTTTTAAATTAATTTGAAAGTCAACTGGGAGCCAGTGAAGGGAGGCCAGAACTGGAGTAATGTGCTCTCTTTTGCCTGTACCAGTTAAAAATCAGGGTGCAGCATTTAAAACCAGTTATAAACATGCAGTAGAGGTCTGACTGGTCCAAACAGAAGCACATGGTAGTAATCATCCTGGATGTTATGAAAGCATGTGTTACTGTCTCGAGGTTATCTTTGGACAGTATGGGCTTCAGTTTAGACAGTCGCCTCAACAGACAAAAACAGGATTTAACAATCGTGTTTACATGTTTAGTTCATGGAAGGGTCCATTTCTACTCCCAGATTAGTGACAACTTGTTTCTCTAACGGGCGGACAGATGGATGCAGTGGTTCTTGATCATGCCATTAAGTGGAAACGACTTCTGTCTTCTTCACATTACGATTTAAGAAATTTAAAGCCATCCAGCATGGCTGCCCTCGTGCTCCCTTTTTTGTCCTCTTGTTCTCTTTATCACTTCGTCCTACATTTGTCAGCTCTGCTGCGCAACAACATCAGAAGTGATTCACACTCTGACGTGGAGCAACAGGATTTACTCTCAGCTACAAGCACAAGTTATAGCTAATTTTGTGTTTGCTGTGGTGGCCGTGTTAAATCCAGCTGAATTTGATTCCATGATTTGCTAACAGACCAAACAAAACATCATTATTACCCACTTTTCACCTTTCTATGGCAGTTAATAAGAATTATCTCATTTTACTGTTATAAAGTTATATTTTATTCATTTTAATAAACCAAATAAACCAGAAAAGAACTTTTCTTTTTAGAAAAATGTAATTTTAAGGTTCATTCATCTCATGAATTACTGTGTGACAGGCCCGTTTTAGTTTAAATCCACTGGTCCAACTGTATGGCTGCCATCTAAAGTAAAATTAATTATTTTGTCATTTTTAGGGGGAGATGTGTCACTTGTATTTGCCCAGATAAATCCAGGAGAAGTAAAAAAAATAATAAAACGACCAGACAGTTTAGGCTTAATTGCACATTTTTCACCTCAGCTGAAAGAAGCCTGACACCCAGATGTTTCTGTCAGTGAAGCACATCTTTGTAAGGAAGGGCAAAAGAAAGGATGAGAGTAAAAACCTCTGAACACTCACAGTGTGTTGCCAGATTAAAGGGTCACCATGTGTGTTTTTTCACCATCAATCCAACGTGTCATTTTTTTAAAACATCTGGGCACAAACGTAGCCAAGAGAAATTCCATCAGTAAAACCCTAAATGAATCACGCTCTGAGAGCTTATTTATCATGTCATTAGTCTGTAAAGGGCCTGGGAATATGTCTGTATACATGAATACCTGTGACCTTTGCCATGGTTACGCTGGTGTAGTTGTAGCTCAGACTGATCCCCAACTTTACAGTTCCACGCCTTTAACTACCAGAATCAGGAACTAGAGAAATTGTATTTCCTGCAAAAATGCAGTGTGAATGCTTATTGCAGAAGAACTTTCTGAAAAACAGCTGAAATGTACTTTGTAGCTGAAATGGAAGAACAAGCCTAAATTATTAGAATAAAACAGAAAGAACACATATTTGCTGAATTTGGTTTAAATAAGCCAGAAACAAGCATAAAAATTAGGAAATAAGCTAAAAAAGGGCTGAAATTAACAAAAAATAGATAAAAAGCAGCTGAAAAGTCAGCAAGAACATGAAATTACCAGAAGGAACTAGAAGGAGCTGAATTGAACTTAAAAAAAAAAAAACACTGTGGAATTAGTGGAAAAAGCTAAATTTAGCACTAAACAACTAAAAAGTAGCTGAAATAGCAGGAAAGCTGAAAGCACCATAACAAGCTGAAATTAGCATAAAGAAGTTAATTAAATTACACATAAACTTGGAATTTATCTGAAAAAGCTTAAATTGGCTAAAAATGTTTTAAAAAGTAGCTGAAAACGTAGAACCAGCTAAATTAGCAGAAGAAATCAGATGGAACATGTTTGCTGAAAGAAGCAGAAATGCGCACAAAACAGTGGAATTATTTGAAAAAAGCTGAAATTAGCACAAAAAAAAATTAAAAAGTAGCTAAAAAGCAGAAAGCAGCTTACATTGCCACAAGGAAGTGGAGAGAGCAAATTTTTTTTTGCTGAATTAGGCTAAAAAGTTAAAGTTAAAACATGTGGAATTAGCAGAAAAAGCTCAAATTAGCATAAAAAAAGCTAAATAGTAGCTGAAATAGCAGAAAAAGATTAAACTTGCTGAAATAAGCAGAAATGAGCAGAAATAAGTTATAGGAATACCATTTTATTTTCACTTGTTAATAAAATCTCAATTTGTACACATCCTTAATAATTGCTGTGTTTGTTGTCCACTGTTGTCATCACTCTTTGTTAAAATCAGGACTCTTTTGTAAATGAGTCTCCCAGGCTCAATAAATAAAGGTTGAATGAATGAACAAAAGAAGCACAAACATTATTTTAGTTGGCAGAAAGAATCTGAAAGGAGCACAAGCAGCTGAAAGTAGCTGAGAAAAGTTTAAATTTGCAAAAGAAGCTGAACCAGAACAAAATGTGAAAGAGCAGTAAAAGGTTGTAAACAGATGTAGAAATTTGAAGGATGTAAATAAAATGAGCTCAATTTATTTTCTATGAGGAAAATGGCAGAAAAGGCTAAATATTTCAAAAAGCTAAAGTTGCACCAACACCAAAAGTCAAAGCAGGGTTGTCCTGAAAGAGCTGAACGTTTTGATTTATGACTTGTTGAAACAGCTGAAAACTTCGGGACGAGAATTGCACTGAAAAATTTACTGGAAAAAAATGGATCACAATAGTGTGAGTGCTTCATAAACATTCACACCGTTAGGTTGAAACATCTACATCTGAATAACTTCTTAACTCAACCCAATTCAAGATGGCTGCCACACTGAGCTTAAAAAACACTAACATAGTTGTAACTCGATTACGTTCACAGATATCGGGCTACAATTTGCTGTGGGAGTAACTGAGGGTCATCCTCAAAACACGAGTTGAGCGCAACGCTTCTTTGCCTAAAAATTTGGCACTAACTGTTAAACTCAGTCCTATTTCTCTGTTAGCAAAATATCTCACAAACCATTTTGATGGATTTCAATGAAGCTTTCAGAAATTACTCTTTGCGTCCGAAACTGATGAACATTTGGAGTCTACCTGAGTTAAGACGCTGCCAGAGCTGATCAAACGTGGCCCACACAAAAATGGCTATACCTTTCTACAGATAATGAGATCAAATTTGGCATGGTAGTAGCTGAGAGTCATTCACAACACATACTCCAAGCGCTGTAATATCACAGGAGGGACGTCATTTTCACGTTTAGACCAAAACAGTTAGAACGCTTCTCCGATGGTTCTGTTTTAAGTCTTAATGTAGGAAATGCAGTGGGCGATGAGCATTTCTTCAAGAAATAGGACTTAAATTTCTCAGGATTGTCCTGGGATAGGGACATATGTGCTCAGTTAGCAGGAATCACATACACATGTTGAATTCAAAGCATTTATTCGTGTTCCCAGCAGGTGTTCAACCACCAGGGGGAGCGGCTGAGCCACCGTCCTCCTGGATCAGCTTGAGGACTCAAGTTAAAACAATTAGCTGTCAGAAGACCAACTCCTGGGTTGGTTGGTTGGGTGTGACTGGTGGAGTGAGACGCTCTGAAGCTCCCTCCTGCAGAGAGCAGAGCCGCAGCACTTTTGTCTCGTAAATGCTCGGCGCTGTGCCTCATGAGCTGGAAAGCAGCCTGGGATTTTCTGTCTGAGCCCTTAAGGCACAAGACCAGAACTGATGGAGATATTTCTGATATTTTCCCGTCGGTGGAGCTTAAGGAGTGTCAGGTGTCACCTCAGAGAGAAAAACCACCTCCCTTGAGTCTCGAATTGCAACCGTCAGCATTACTTGTATTTCCTCTCTTTATTATTGCTCTTTTTACTTTTACATTCTCTTTTTAATTTTTTTTCTTAATTTTTTTTTTGCTTTGCCTCTTTCTCCTGATCTCAGATTGTCAGGAAGTTGCACCAGTTCACCTACGATCTCTTCATCCAAGCCCAGTCCCTGCAGATGCGCGTCAACTTCCCCGAGATGATCTCGGAGATCGTCAGCGTCCACGTGCCCAAGATCCTGTCGGGCATGGTCAAGCCCATCCTTTTCCACGACACGGCCTAGTCGGCGAGCGCCTCCGCCGCCGGGCTGTTCGTTTGCGTGACGAGCTCCGACACTCAGAATGCGTTCATCCAGGAGCGACAAAAGAAGCTTCGAGGTTTAATGAAGTGAAAGAAGCGTCATTAGCTGTGGGTGAAGGAGAGGATGGCACATTCTTCCAGTGTTTTGTAAAGTAGCCACATCTACCTTGCTCTTCTCACTGCCTGCTCACTGTATCAAGCACGCCAGATTGTTTTTTGTTTCATTTGGGGAGATGATTTTTTTTTTTTAAAGCGCGCATTCCTTCACTCGAGCCAGTGAAAGCCGGCATGCAGACTTCTTCAGATCTTGCTGATTCCTGTCAGCTGAGACATGAAGACAGTAGTGAGAAAAACATGTTTGCAGAGTTCACAGCCCCAAAGCTTTTTTTTTTTTTTTTTTTGGTCTTGTGTACCCGTAGTCTGACATTTGAACTAGCTTTTTATCACAATGAGCGTTATTGTGTGCACCGACCTAAAGAATAACTGTTTGATTGACAGTTAATAATAAGCAGTTGTAACTTGCATGCTCTCTCGCCTGAAGGCATAGAAAACAGTTTTTTGTTTGTTTTTTTAAAAGCTCTTCTCACGTCTTGGAAACTTTTCAAAAACAGTCTGCCTAATCATTTTATTATGTGTTCATGTTCGGTGTGTTCAGTTAAACACCTTTAAAGTGACTGCAGTACAGCTCATTTTGAATGTATATTTATGAATTTTTGATGTCGGGATGAAATAATTTGCACCAGCAAGACCAGAGAAAGTAGTTTAAATCAATGCTCTGACTCGTTCCTCAGCTTAAACAATGGGTGGCTTTCTTAAAAAGAACAAAAAATAAATACATAAGTTTTTGGAGTGCCAAACAAATACGGTTTTTATCAAAGTGGATATTTCATACTGTTGTGTAACTTTTCTACTGTTTCCTAAAGGTGTTCTTTTTGCAGATGCTTTTGTGTGTCGCTGTGTATTTCACTATAGCTTCTGACACTTTTGCTAAACATTAAATGTCCAGCAAAGAATCTGCTCTCTGCGTATGATTACTCTGCAACGTGTGCAGAAATGAAACGGAAAGTGTGAACGTTGGCTTGGAGCGAGAGGTGACTGCTGCTTTCTGAGGATCGGTGTTGAAGAATGAACCTAAAGCATGGGTGGGCAAAGTTTTTTTTTTTTTCCCAGAGGGCCAAATCAAAATATTGAAAGCAATCAAAGGGTCTCATCGTGACAAGAATGTGCTTTAGGATTCGTTCATGACACCGGACAACAGGAATGGTTAAAATATTTATTAATAAATTGCTGCTGGTGGAGGTTCAATCTGCAGAGACGGAAATCAGTTATCAAAGTTTCACTGTGAAGTAAGTGATTTTGTTGACATGACTCGACAAGGGAGAGGGCGTGCCCCAGAAGCCATCTTAGCACCCACATAACTGGTATTTTCTACTTTGGAGTAAGCTGCTGGGGAAAAAACAGCTTTGTGTGGTGTTTCTTCTGACTGATGAAGCCTTCTGGATGGAGGGCGGAACGTCTCAGCACAAAAAATGAAACCATCCAGATGACCTGACTGCACATTGTTGGATTTTATACCTGGATTATTGAGAATGAACTTTGTTGTTTCACTGTGATCTGATTTTTACCGTAGCATTCGCTAACCTTCACAGTCAGGCAAGGGAGGGGCTCCTTCAGTGAGTTGGAGATGCTGATGTCATCCACAGTGAGTGAGCTGCAGCGGAGAGGGAGGCTTATGAAAAGTGTTGTTTTGAGGAGTTTCCAAAAGCGAGGTCCAGTAATGCAGGCAGGGGTCAAGAGTTGTTGGTCAAAAATCCAAGAGTAAATCCATATCATGATCCGTGAGACAGAGTAATAAGAAGCAGTCTGTACCGTGGTTAGAGAAAAGAATCCAGATCAGACAAGGGACAAATTCAATTCAAAAATATTTTATTAATCCCAAAGGGAAATTAATTGTTCTTGTAGCAAGCACTGACTCCAGGTAGACGGAGATGCATCCACTGATCCTCCTTTTCAACTCATTTGGGAATTGGGGCTGTAGTTGAGATATTACTTGAGCTTTTGAGATGGTGAATTAGCAGCTCCCAGTTGTAGAAAACTACCTTGTTGTTATGGCTACACATCATAACAAATGTCCAAAAGTAAAAAGGGTTTTATTAAAAATCCTTCCAGTAGCACAGCATATGATACCAGAGGAAGTAATCATCTGGAAAAAAAAAAAAGGATTTACATTCAGAAAAACAGAATAGAAGTTTTCAAAAACAAAATCTCAGAATGACTTGCGACCCGTCCAGGGTGTACCCCGCCCCTCGCACAGTGATTGCTGGACATGGGCACCGGCGACCCCCGTGACCCAAAATGGAAGAAGCGGGTAAAAGATAATGGATGGATGGATGGATGAAAATCTCAGGATGAATGTAAGAGAGCTATTCCAACATGCAGCCACCTTGAGTGGCACAACTCTAGAAAGAATGCGAGCAAGGTGGAGAATCCAGGAGGCAGGCGTGGGGTCAAGACAGAACAGGCAGACAAAACTATGGCTTGGATGCTGGACTTCTACTTTCATGAGGAGATCAATAATCTGGCGAGGGCAGAATGTAAGCGTGGAGTTTAAGGGAGGGGAACAGGTGTATGAGATGAGAGCTGATTATGGTGGGGGAGCAGAGTGGGCGTGGTGAAGGGTGACAGGAGTGGAGTTGAATAATGACAAGAGCAGGGGGAAGAAACAGAGCATGGAAACACAAAACAATGGCAGGAGAGGCAGAAACATGACACATAGGGAATTAGAATTTTTTTTTTTCAAAACCGATATCCCAGGAGACTTTTTTCAAGCTTTTTCTTGTTGTAGCATTTGCATGCTTGATAAAAATGGGTTTCCCCAATAATGTTTAGGATGTAAGACTCTGTAAACTATAGTTTATGAAAATATCTGTTATCTTAAATATGCTAAATGAAATATTTTCTCTGCACTCGCTCTCGCTCAAAGCAGACACATTCTTCTCTTCCTCCTTTTTTTCCCCTCTCCGTCTGTGTCTCAGAGCTCCTGTTACACATCTTCTGAACGAAAAATACAATTATGGATCTGGTGAGCTGGACTTTCAACGCAATCAACAAAATCTTTTCAACAAAACAACAGTGTCCTGGAGAGCCCTCATGTCCCACTGAGACTCACACTGCAGGATACATCATGGACCCATGGGGGGTGTGGGAACTGATGTGTCTTTCTGTTCTGTCTCAGGAGGAAGCTGAAGACATTTATATAATTGGATTCATGATAGCAGGGGTTCTGCTTTTTGGCATCGACAGGCTCCTATGTTATCGGCTTTTGAGGAAGAAACCGGCAGCAGTTTTGGCCATAAAAAAACTGACAAGTCTGTGTGAAGGTTTGGTTCATGCTACGAGTACTCAAATTCAGCTGATTTAAGAGCTAAACCAAGAGACAGGCGACCTGCGGCTTCTAGGACTCACCAGCATGTTGAGGTGACCTTGAAGGAGGCTCATAACATGGATCAGTGGAATGCCCACAAATCTGGCCATTTTGGATCTTGAAAGTACCAGCATGACTCAAGGCGGACAAGAAAAAAACAAAACAGTCTGCCTGAAGAAAATCAACAATTGTGGCTTATCTGAATCTGACTCCCCCATTTTGCCTTGAAAGCAGGCCGACTATCAAATTTCATTGGGACATGGGTAAACTAAGGAGAAAGCTTTGTTTGTTGCACCTGCCCACATAAGAACTTCTGTACAGGCTTATCAGAACTGCCAGTTGACCAACATCTTATCAGGACTGTAGCCTATCTGGAAGTGCTTCATGGACAAATCTCCCCGTCTTCATGTCAAATGCATATGCATTGTGTTATAAATGTGCTTGCTGGTAGAGTTTTCTTAAATTGTGTCCTAATAAGACAAGATGTGAAGAGATCTTTTTTGTAATATCATTATCCATCCTCATGGCCTTTTACCTTTTTCTATCTAAAAAATAGTATTCTGATAAAGGATAAGAGGTTGCGCTCCTGTAGCAGCAACATGTTCTCTGCCCATCTTTCGGACGACTGTACGAACATAATCTCACTGTATCTTGGTATAATGATAATAAAGCTTATTCTGATTCTGAAAATTTTAAATTAAAACATAAAAAATAAGTTGACTAAAAAGATGGTTTTAGCCAAAGTTTTTTCATGTATTTGTCCAAGATGCTTAATTTAGATTTCCTTGAATTTAATTGATAAAATGCAGGTTTTCATGAATTTGTTTATAAGTTGCTTTCTTTTCGGTTAAGGATATTGGGGGTCGGATAGAGACTGTTCAGGGGCCACTTTTAGCCCTCAGGCCATATGTTGCCCACATCTGATCTAAAGCCTGTTTGTCTAAATTAATGGTGTTGTTTTTTTCTGTTATACTGAAGCTCCCTTATTACTATTTGCTTGTTATTCTTCGGTTTTAGTCACTACTTTCAGTTTGCTGTCCCTCCCTCACTTTGATTTTTACATGAGTGTTGTTTAGGTTTTTGAATGTTTGCATTTTAAAACATAGTGTGATGATCTAACACTAATTTGAGCCTTCCAGAAAGAAGGTGAAACGTTTAAAAAAAAAAAAAAAGAAACTGTCCAGATGACCTGACTGAAAATTGTTGGACTAATTTGAGCTGTCCAAACTTTTTAAAATCTTTACAAACTTTTTTCACCATTTTTTGCATTTCATATACAATTTATACATCAAAACCAAAGTATTTTTGTCATCTTCCCCCATGTTTGTCCCACTGCTAAGACTTATCATATGAATTTGTTTTCCCCAAATCTCCCTAGAATGAACATAGCAAAAGTCTCATTGACTTCAATGGAACCTGAGCTCAGAAATTTTTACTTCAGAGCTAAAATTGAAAGTCTGTTCCACTTGTCATATGTTATAAATAAAACACTGGAAACACATAAAATGTATGTGTGGTGATCATACACTTCTGCCTCCAACGGTTCAGGAGTATTTTCAGGAGAGTTTTTGTACTTAACAGATTTTAACAGGCTTAATTTCTAATCTGTTTACAACATGTTTGCCTACATTATTCAGTCAGCCTCCCACCATCACAGACATCTACACCTCCAGATGCAGGAAGAGGGCCACCTGCATCATGAAGGACCCCACTCACCCAGCACACACACTTTTTGCCCCGCTCCCCTCAGGCAGGGGGTTAAGGAGCATTAAGTGTAGAACCACTAGACTGAGGAACAGCTTCTACCCTGAGGCTGTTAGACTCATAAATATCTAGCCAGAATAATCACTGTGAAAAATCACATCATGTTGCTGCTGATCTGTTTCATGTTGCTGCTGATCTGTTTCATGTTGCTGTGTTCATTCGTACTCATCTGCTCACACAGAC